GTGAAGATCAATCCCACTATTCGTTTGTAAAGAGTAGCCCAAAAGTTGATAGACTAGGTACCTTCCCTCTAGTCTATCGTTTAATACTTAGGAATGGCTTTGTTTGTTTTTATGAATTTCGCGCAAAGCTACACGAGGGCTATCTGCGCTAGCCGTCCCTAATTTAGCAGTGTAAGACTAGAGGGAAGGCAGCTAGTCATCACCACCCACCGCCAACTCTTGGGCTACTCTTTTACCAACGAATAGTGGGATTGACCGTCACATTATAACGCCCCCACGGCTGAAAGGGCGAGCATGTTTGGTGTGACGGGGATTCGAACCCGCGACCCTCAGATTGCGAGTCGAGTGCCTTAACCAACTGGCCATGCCATAGCTAGTGCACATAGCTATAGCCCACAAGTAACTTTGTGCAAAATTCAACAAAAAATAAATAAAGTAGTGTTCTGGAAAATCCACGAAAGTAAATCACCATACTTTTTTCTGGAAATAATAGTGAGCTAAAGTTTTACACTAATTTTCTAGAGGGCTATTAATTAATATGTCCAATAATAACTTTTAGCTTTTTATTTCTCCATGAGATAAAATAGTGCAGTTTGTGCAGGACAGTCCTGGTTTTTGAAATGTTATCCTGGTGTCCCAATAGATCCTTTCAGGGCATCGAAGTATTCCAGTTTTTATTTTTTGTTGTTTTATTTTTTGTCAGTAGACTTTAACTTTTTTATGATTATATTCAATTCTTTGATCTTTTGACAACCGTGAATCAATAGATACGAATTTGTTTATCTGATTACGAAAATAAATACATACCTCAGAATTACTCAGTATAGCATTTGCTGCTTTTTTGCATCCTCTGAAGTCGGCTATAAGGCAGGCTACAGCAGACATCATAATGTTCCTATTGCGTATGTTATTTAGCATGTAATTTTTCAATCGCTAAACAAAGAGAGATGCTTGAAAGCAAATGGCAGGTGCTGTTCATAGTTGTTGTTGTTTGTTATTAAGCACAAAGCTACACAGAGGGCTATCTGTGCTTTGCCCACCACGGGTGTCAAAACCCGGTTTCTAGCGGTGTAAGGGTTCATGGTTAATGTTTGAATTTGAAGTCGTAAAACTCAATGGTGAGCATGAATGAGGATTGCTCGGAACTTTACGACAAATTTCTGAACAATAAGAAGTTGTTCGAAAAATTCACTCGTCAGAGAGGTATTTAAAGAAATAAAAATGAAAGCAAAAATATTATTTTCACTTGATGATACTTATTATTTGAATAATTGATTGTTTATACTTTTCTCTAAAAAAGGAAGGTTCCAGTCTTAAGACCTGAAAACCTGGTTATTTTATTTCTTCATAACCATTGGTGAAGAGAGTACGATTTAGTCACTTACAAATAAAACCCAGGTTTGTGAATAGAAAATTGTATGAAATAGCACACATCTACTCAATTTTTTCTTACCTTTTATTTTACCACAAGCAACTTTCATTTATACTGATGGTTGAATACATTATATTATACTATTTTAAATAAGCAAATCAGCAATTCACACGACAACCCCAACTGGTTTGAGGTCACAGTGGAAAGGCATGTATCAGAACTACATTTTGACATTGTTTGGCGTTTGGTTAAAAGTGTGATGCCACGAAAAATTGATCACAAATTATTCATACTCTTAGACCATAAAGTGTTAAGAATTTCCAAGACGGGGATATCACTTGCAGTTAATGACATTGGAAAATTTGGTAATAAGAAATATTCATTATAATTTAGGCTTATTGGATTGATCATTCTTACAAGCAATGATGTTTTATTTCCACTAATTTGTCAATAATATATTAAAACTAAGTTAATTAACCCTAAATGATAATCCGGGAGTTTTCAGAAAGTAAACCTTCCTTCTTCCTTTTTAATCCAAGGGGCAAAGAACTGAAATGTAGTATGATAAAAGAACAGTTAACAAGTTCACAAAGTCTTTATATCTTGGTATTCTCAGATGAACTTATTTCCACGAAATTATCAGAAAGGTCCACTTAACAGAAAGATCGAGTAGGAAATTTGCAGAGTAATCTGAATCTGAAAATTTTACTGAGTTTTAAGTTGCTTGAGAAATGAACCATTTGTTTAAAAATGAATACAATCTTTATACAGTAACAAAAGCAAAATTAAATCACAGTGTGCGACGTGCACAAAAATACTTACAAAATTACTTATAGAGGTCTAGAATGTCGGTTTGCAGTTCCCTTCTCTCAAGACTGGATTCTGTCAAACTAAACACTAGAATTGCAAAAATAGAACAGAGAGAACTTTTATTTGTTTGTTGGTAACCACAAAGTTACACAATTGGAATTCTGTGTTCTGCCCATGATAGGTATTAAAACCTGATTTCTAGCATTATAAGCCCTGAGACTTACTGTTGAGCCACTGGGTGCAAGAGATAACCAAAGTTTTGAGATTGCAAATAAGCTATGTCCTTTCTCTTACAATGGCATCACCACGTGGTTGATCATTCTCTCACAGCATTCGTCGGCTAAAGCATACAGACATAATCCACTCGGCCAGCAAAGGATATTACAATCATTGACGCTTTCAATATGGATATGCGACCTTACTGCAGTGTCCATCCCCTCGGGAAAAGTAGATATCACCTGATATAGAGAACAAAGACATAAAGGCAACTTCAACAACTTTCTGGACCAAGTGCTTATGCCGAACTGCATAGAAACTGACTAAACGAAAATAAATTTAATATCCCTATATTACTTAAAGCAGGTAGAAAACATATGATATGCCTGCATATCGCAACACTCTTTGTGAATTTTATTATATTTCAATAAGAACTCGTTAAAAGTCAACAATGGGCTTTCGTAAGAGATCAGAGTTGTTATGTTCTACAGAAATTATAAGATACAAGGTGCGTTATCTTGTTAAGTTGTTACTTAAATGAACGCCCCCCAATGGCACAGCGGTATCTCTGCGGACTTACAAAAATAGAATCCGGGTTTCGATACCCGTGGTGGGCAGAGCACAGATAGCCCATTGTGTAGCTTTGTGCTTAAATACAAACAAACAAACTTAAATGAACTGAATAACAAAATTATATTATAAAACTAATCTATCAATGATATGAAAACAGTTAAATTGTATTTTTGGTGTAAGGTTTAAATATTTAAGATTTAGTTTTTAGGTGTGGTTAATTTCTGGATACAGGTATTGGATCGATATTTATATTTATAGCAAAGCCACTTAGGTTATCTGCCGCTGTCTCTCATTTTGTAAGTCGGCAACACCCTACCACCCATCATCCATGCTTACGGGTTGACTGTCACTTTTACAATGCACCCACAGTTTAAAATGGGGGGGGGGGAGGGTGTCATCGAACGTCGAGATTGCTGTAATTTCAGTATATACCTTAGAAGAAAATCCAAGGTATAATTAATTTTCAACAATGCTAAATAATTATGAGAGCTATCATATATATATAATTATTTACTTATTTATGAGAGATAATTTACATAGGTGATGGATATCTGCATGCGTTTGTCGTTTCCTGTTTGTCTACAAAAGGTCTATCTGCTCTAGCCGTCCCTAATTTTGAACTAATACAGAAACTACTGATATTTCTTGGGTAACTCTATCAAAAAGTGGTATTTTATTTTCACTCTTATACCGCACCCATAGTCCCAAGGTTCGGAGCTCGATTTCGCGGAAACGGAACGCGAACCATGGACCCTTGAATCTTACATTCCGGCAAAGTAACAAACAGACCACGTATGACTCATCTACATGTAACCTGTTAATTCATATATTTATGTTGTTTTTACAGAAATAGCTTTTTTCTGACAATGACTGATGTATTCTTTTTATTATTTATGTTTCTGGTATTTTTCAGTCCATCTAGTTTATTATTAAAACACTAATTCGTGAATTGTTCAAAAATACTTGGTAAAAGGGGTCGGTGTAGCTTTTTGCCCACAAAGCCCACAAAAAAAAAGGTATTTTGCAATTAAGGCGACATTCCCAATTCTAAATGTGCAGAAAGCCTGTTTTAAACTTTAAAGAGTGTTCTGTTATAATTATTTACATGTTAGTCGTAGAAGTATTCTTCAGGCTTTTTTTAAGTTACTATAATACATTAATTTCATTTTTCTCATTGCTTTATTTAATGTTTAATTTAAAAGCATATTGCATTAGGACGGCTCTTTTAAAAAAATTCTAAATACTAGGAACTTCCAACCTGTCTCCAAACTTTATAAACTCTCAGAATGAGGTTATATGAATTATTTGCACATTAAATATTTTATTGTCTATTTGTTTTGTCTAACTGCCCATGAAAGCTCCTCTCCGCCATCTCGGTAGAAAAAGAAAAGCTAAGGAATTTTTATCTCCGGTTCAACTTTCTTCGCTGGGTAACCTAGAAAATGTTACCCGCTATGCGGATGCATTTTAAGAGTGGCAGTCAATTCTACAGCGAGGATGGTGGGTGTTGTTGACTGTTTGACTTCCCTCTGGTCAGTAGTTCAAACTTAGGGACAGCTATAGATAGACTAATCATCTTTACCATAATTTGCATAAATACAAAATACATTAATAATATTTTTACTCAAAGGTTAAACATAACAGCTTAATAATATATTCACTGACTGGATTATGGATAAAAAAAAATCTTCCTTTTTAATTACTATATCAGTTAATAAGAATTGGAGAGTCTCGAAGATTGTCAGAAGATTATTTCTTTCCGGTATAAATAAAATAACAGCTTAATAATATCCTCACTGACTGGATTATGGATAAAAAACATCTTCCTTTTTAATTACTAAATCAGTTAATAAGAATAGGGGAGTCTCGAAGATTGTCAGAAGATTATTTCTTTCCGGTATAAATAAAATGGATTTTCTTCTAACCTGCGAAACTCATCTCAGGATATTCACGATGTCGTTGTTTTAAATATTATCCACCAGATGATGCTGGCATGTTGTACAGGTGTTAACAGTGAAATGAAATTAAGTGGGTATAAATACTAGTTTCTTCCCTGTTTGGTTAGCCTAATCGTGGGTGTGGAAAAAAAAAATTGTGAAATTTTAGCGTAAGGTTCACTACCGGAGTGATACTTTCGTTACAGAATGATGTTAATAGTCAGGTAATATTAAACTTATGTATGAGTAATTACAATATTTTTAATTTTTTTTATAATTATTTCAATTATTTACAAAATAAATTCCTATTTTTGTATTTTATGTATTTATTCAAATTGACTAACATTAAAAATTATCGGTAATACTATTATGAGTATTAGTACTACTGTTAATAGGCCTATATAAAGTATAACTTGTAAATTGTGTAATTTAGTATAGTATTTTTAGATAGTAGTACTAGTACTGTTGGCATTAACTGATTAAGGATTAAGCCAAGAATTACTTTTAATGATATTACAATTTACTGATATGTTTGAATTGAACTTTTAAATTAATTTAATAATTAATGCCTTTTGCTTTAGTCATAGTATACTGTACCGCATTTTCGATAAGTATTCAGGATGTCAGAAAAACACATAGGTTCAGTAAGTTTTGAGACAAAATGATAAAAACCCTATAGCCCTAGCATTTTCGAAATGTGGATATTTCTTTTTTAGGGGCAAAGTATCATAATTTTGCAACAAAAATTAAAGAAATTGTCTTGCTTCTATCTATAATTTAAAAAAGCCATTATAATTTATTTGACTTACAATTATGTAGAAAGAGAGCATTGTATTGATACTAGTGATAACCTATATCTTAAGACTTAAGTTAATTCTTGAACTTCCATTTAGAATTGAAAATTGTATGAAAATTAAAGTGTTTTGAATAAACCTAGAACACCAGAAAGACTATTTAGACTGAATCCTTTGATATTCAAAACTTGGATATCCAACTCTGTCCATAATTAGAGAATGCAATGAAAACTTTTAGTATTACTAAACTTGGTCATTATCAGCTCAGCATAATCCATCTTCAAAAGAGAAAACCCTCTCCTTCAATCAAGTCATTATTTTCCCATTAAGAATAAAGTTTGCCCCTAAAGCAACAAAATAATCCAGTACACTGAGCTGATAAAAGAAAAAGATGTTAAACCAACATCATACAACCTAGCATCCTCACTCAAGCTTCTGTAGAGGATTTTCTCTTTACACCACCGTCATGAGCATAGCCATACCACCATGTTGGTATGCAACTGATTTTAACTGAGGGAAGAACAGTATATAACAGTTAATGTAATAGCAACTTCACAATGTGAAAATCATTTTGATGTTAATTCTGTGTAGAAGTTGGAACCTTGCTCAAACCCAGTGCACCAAGCAGATCACATATTGTTATTGAAAAATGCAGAACAATTTTTTTGTGTGTGTCATATTGAGAAGGCTAAGTTGACTGTAGGTAATTTTGATATGTATATGGTACTTTTAATAAAATTTACTACCTTGATTAGTTCTAAACTGTATTTTGATATAAATTCCCTTAATTCTGGAATAGTGATAATACATGAGTGGGTTTCATATGTAGAGCAGCAATAACATATATGTTCATAAGAACTCTGATGGAAGACAAGTGAAAACCATAAATTATTTTGAATTATTAAAAAAAAAAATCTTTCAATGTTCCATCTAATGAAAAATTCTAAAGGCTGTCTTTCAGCTTTGATATTCTAGTTCTCAGGGACTAACATTCAGAATGTAATGCACTAATATCACTCATTGAAAGTTCAGTCTGTACTAATATTCCTTGGACAATTTTATAATTAATTGGATCATGGTTTTTAATGTAGAATAGACAATAACAGTAAAGCATTGGCTTCTTGAATTGTTTCCGCTTGTCTAATCTCCTTTTCTTGGCTTCTTTTCTGTGAATAGAAATATGTAGTGATTGCTCAGCCTTGCATTTTTGATGTCAATGAAAATACAAATTGCACTGGTATGAAATCTGGACTAGAGGAATTGTCACTCTTAGTTTGTAGAAATAACACAAAGTATATTATTCCCTGCTTATGAAAGTGAAAGCAATGCAGTATGTAATGATCAAAATCTTGGATAAGAATGTTTTCTTTTTCATTTAAGTAACATCACAGTTATATTATTTAAAAATCAAACAAACATATTTTTATCACTGTTTACATGAAACCAGCACAGTCTGGTCATGACATAGGATTGAGAACTGAAATATAAGCTTGGTTAATATAATTTTCATGGACTGTGAAAATAATATTAAACCCAGTTTTTACTGCCCAAACTGCCAAATAGGTAACTAAAACTCAAAGAAAGAGATTAGTTTGATGTTCACATAATTATACAGGTAATTACTTTTTAACACAGCTGAACATTACAAGATTATACAAAAAATATATATATATATGTATATAAACCAAAGGAATAAGAGTTACAAGAAAAATTAACATTCCTATTTCATATTTAACACTTTCCTTGAACTAATTTCAAAATTAAGAACTTATTTGAAGGATTATTAATAATGTCAGGATTAAGCAAGAAAAGAAGCATTAAAAATGTAAAACAATATGAATTTAAAATGTACTTTGCTAATTACTAAAATACTATATTTAGTAGGCCTAGACTACAATACAAACTACAGTGACGTAGACTAGCAATAAAATTATCATTGCCTACATGGCTACAGGTTACTAGATCTTTACAGATGCAGTCCATTTATTTCTTCAGTCTGTATCACTCAGAAATCTATAAAATGGTTTTCCTGAAGATCTGAAACATCTGTTGTGATAAACAACAACTACACATAATAACCATGACTACACTGAAACTCTTACTGAACGTTGCTTTTTGCTGATCAACTTCATAAATTAGCATGCTACCATGATGACATTTTATGTGAAATACCTGCAAATCCTCTATATAATGCAACATAGCAGAGCAGGCTTGTAAACACACTATTAAACACTTGCTTACTGTTATATATTTCTAGTCTTAAATTGGCTCTAATAATATCAGTATTTCAATCTCTGAAACAAGCTTATAATTTATGACACATCAATTTCTTTACTCCAATTTATCAGGAATGGGGCAGGTACACAATACATGCAGTACAAACTGTTTACTCGTATACATCTTTAACAACCAAATAATAAATCTTCAAAAGTATTTGAGAGACACTCTTAGGTGAAAAAAAAAATAAAAAATAAAAAAATTACATGACATAGAACCACTTGAGAAAATCAGCAGAGCAAGTACAAAAAATCCACAAAACCAAAATTTCTCAATCTTACTGGCTGACTTATATTGTTGAATGTCTCTAGCTGTGTAATAAACAGACTTATCATAGTTATAAGAGAAGAGATTGTAAACCACACACACCATTATTTGCGCATACAGTAATATTATGGTGCACACCCACACTGATGATTATACATACAGGATACAAACACGAATGAATGATGCATAAAATCATGTCACCTTGTACGAAAGAAGTGCATGAACAAAACATATTGAAAGTGTAGAAATGGATGCACCAAAAAGTGAGAAAACAAGGTAGTAATGGGCATGATGTAATAAAACTTCCTCTGTACAACTTCACAAGTGGGTGTGTCTAACATCCTATCCATATCTACTTCATTTTTCTGTGTTCATGATATTGTACTACTTATCGGCACACAAAAAAGTGTGTCTATGATTCTTCGACTTTTGTATAGACAGTAAATAATCCATGACCATAGCATTGATACACAAAAACCTCTTAGGATTTTTTATCTTTGTGTTTAACCCATCTATATAGCTAATGCATGAAATTCTGTTGCCTTCTCATGCAATTGCTAAAGGAGGGACAAGTTGTAAAGAAAAAGAAAAAACATACAAGCTGTGGATCCACACAAATATCTGATTCTTCTGGTGTTGTATAAACAGACTTTACAGTACATGTATTGCCTCTAATAATTCAATTCACAGAAACTTCTAGTCATTGTATGATAAGCATAACTAAGTTTGAGAAGTTTAGTCCACCAGGCGTATTGTATACAGGATAGAAAAAATAAACAAATTTGGTATGGACAGGTGTTGAACACGCCCCTATGTGAAGTTGTACAGAGGAAGTTTTATTACAACATTCCCATTCCTACCTTGTTTCCTCACTTTTTGGTGCACCCATTCATACATTTTCAGTTGTTTTTTTTTAAATATTTTTTCCACTTGTTGGTAGAACAAAATAAAGATCTATATTTGTACATGTTACTAAATTGCTAGATATCTACCTTGATATTCTTGAATTTCAATTAGATTTTTACAGTAAGATAAGTTACTGATTCCTGCAGAGTTTGAAAGGACATTTTGATTTGATAAGAAAATGTATTGGTGTTATTAAGGGGAAAAGAAATTGGTGAGATTAAAAGTAACCTATTAATGCCATCTGCAATGTTTTAGGCTATGGTGAAGATACTAATAGAGGACTAGAATTTGTTTAAAAAAAATTAAAGCTGGCATTTTATAAATTATTCATAAGTGTAACAGTTGAAAATTATATCACCAAGGTTTAACAAAACATTTGGTTTTGATACTTGTTTTGTTTATTGAAAGGGGCCCTTATTGTGCCAAGTGCTGTTTTGTCATCTTGGTCTTTGTAATGTTCTTTACTTACTTGTACAGAGGCTTTTTGAAATATTTACATTATATTGATATTTATGAATAGCAAGTATCTTAAGTTAATTCAGTTTAAATAATGTAATGTTTTCTCAACTATATAAAACCCTGTTTATGATCACCTCATTCCTGTGAGAAATAAGCAACTTCTATACTAACTTTTAGGTATTGAAACCTACATATATAAACTAGTTAAAATTCCATGAGGCATTTCATTAAGAGCTTAATGCATTTCTAGCTGTATTAAGGATGTTGAAGTGTTACAGAATTATGCAAATCATGGGTAAGTTGGAGAAATATTTGTCAAGTGACTTATAATTATAGTAAGTGTAAGCTAATGCATTTGAGTTATCACAATTTGAATCATACATATAATATAGTTGGGAACTCAATTAATAACGTGACTGAAAAAAAAAGAACCTTGAAATAGTGGTGGATAAATCCCTCAAACCACTAAAGCAGTTTTTTGTTGTTATTAGTAAAGTTAATAGAATTGTAGGATGTACTTATACACATGGCTTATAAGTCAAAAGAAATAATTCTCTGTATACAAATCTTGAGTTAGGCCTTAATTGGAATACTGTTTACAGCTTTGGTCTTCTTACTTGAGAAAGGATATTTACTTATTGGAAAGAGCTCAAAGAAGGGCTTCTAGGATAATTCCAGGGCTAGAAGGGCAGGAAGGTTAATTTATAACAATAGGTAATATCTTTTAACTTGTTTTTTCTTGATGAGAAAAGGTGGGTAAGAGGTGATCTTATTCAAGTTTATAAAACAATCTGAAGGATCAGTAGGATAAAGTTCTTTGTGCTGTTATATCTTCTGAAGTTAATAGGATGAAAGAACACAAGTTTAAGACTTGGAAAAGCTGTTAAGACAGTTTTATTTTTCTAACACTGTGATTGGCTTATAGAATAAGTTGTCATTGGCACTATTGGAGGCCATCACTTACAGGAGTTTAAGAGGGGAATTGATGAGTTTCTGAATAATAAAGGATGGGTGTAAATTTTTCTTTTTCCAAAAGTGGATATGCAAGGCAGCCTTGATGTGCTAAATGGTCACTTGTATGTATGTTACATATTGAATGAGTTTATCTTTTATAGATTTTGAAGGTAATCTTTAAAAAAATTTCAGAAAATTCTCTGTATAATATAACTATTAAATACTTCTAAAATAAAAACAGAAAGTTTATTGTTTATTGCTTGTGTTATTATAGTTTTATCTACCAACATATTTTTGATACAGTATGAAATTATGAAGAAATTATGCAAAGGTGTATTTAAGTAACATTTTATTCATTAAAAAAGTTGTAAGAATTATAGCATTTTTGCAATGAGATGTTCATACTGTTTATTTTTATTAATAGTTATTATATCTTAGTTCTAAACACTTTTATAACAATTTTGGCTACAAATCAATTGGGAGTGAACTAAAATCTAAATAAAATAATTTAGATTGAAAGTGTTTTAAGAAAAAAATGGGCATAAGTTAAAAAATTTCCAAATCTTTATAAAAGTTTGGCATGATTTTTGTATCTCATCTTTTGAATAACTTTCCTATGACTTGTAAATATATTTTAATACATTTCAAATGTAATTAAAATTATTTAAAGTTGTAGAGAGGAAATTGCTTGTCACTAAAGTGAAACAATAAAGTCTGACTGCAGACTTTGACTGTTTTTCAGTTCATGTTTCTAGTAACCTAGTTGATTTATTTTCAATAATTTTATTTTTATATAATTAATGTAGATTTAAGTATATATGCAACTAAGTCTCCATTAAATGTTTTCAGTTTTCTTTAGCATGCAACACTGTGAATTTTTTTATCATGGTACCTAATCCTCACATCCAAGTAACATATACCATCTCACTGGTGTTATTCCTAGTACGAGAAGTTAGATTTATCTGTAGTTAAAGGTATAAGTAATAAATATCTAGTTTTTCTAGTTAAAATTAGTTCAGCTTTCAGCATAAACTGGTGGAATTTGTCATTTTTTCTTTCATAAAGTATACTATAATTGTGAGATTTCAACTACACTTGTATTTGAGCTGCAAGTCTTTCTTGAGTTATGATTGGCTGAAAGAACACTTAATGATGAAAGGCTCATACACTTAAGACAGTTTAAAATAATGTTATTTGTATAGTTTATTTAGAATAATATTAACTGTATAATATTTCATATTATTTATAAAGTTAAAAATAATGTTAAAGTAAAGAACAAAATTGACTTTATGTTTAAATATTGATGAGTATTTTCTGAACATCTTAGAGACTACAACTAAAGAAAGTCATTGTTAATTAATAGTGGATATATATATTCATAAACTTTCCTTTTCTCAGCATCATAGCTATGGTGTTTTGCTCTTTTTAATATTGTTTTTGATGTAGATATGACATGTTACTATGTGCAACTTAGTATATTCAGTGATTATTTTGTTAACTACCATACTTGTCAGTTTCAGGCTGACATATTTAGCACTATAAACATGGTGCATTAATGAGGTCAGTAGTCAGTGCAGATAACATACAATTGTGAGGATAATTGAAAAAATTAGAATAATAGTTTTTCATTGATACAAACGTTTTTTTTATTAATACTGAGCTAACTTACTCAATGCAAACTACTAGAACTATAAGCCTAGTTAAAACTGTCAAATTTATATCCATTTTTGATTGATTAACAAATGTTTATTGATATTTGGTTCATTTTTGAATTACTCAAAAGTGGTGTTTGTTGTTTTGTTAAGGTTTTTTTTTATTTAGCCTTGGAGTAAATTGATTGTAGACTTTACTACCATAGGCAGTGCAGTAGGCATAGTGCACTAAATAATTCTGTTTGTGGTTCTTGAAGACAAACACCTTAAGGACTTTCTTTCCTAAGAATTAATATGAACTTCTGAATAAAGCAATCTATCAATAAAGATCAGAACTAAAGATATACTTAATAATGAACTTAGCTAATTAAACATAATATTCAAACTATACTACTTATAATCATTAAGATACAGATATTATGATTATTTCATCAGTTTGCTAAGTAGTTTTGTTAAGTATTTTAACTAACACTATGTCAGCACTGTGGTAAACGTTTCTCTTGTTGAGGCTGATGTCCAAATATGAACTACAACAAAGTGGTGAAAATTATAGTTGCCTTAGACAGCTTAATAGAATTAGGTTAGTCCCAAAACTGTAAATTAAGGTAAAAACAATCTTTAATACTTTATAATGAATAATAAATTTAAAATTAGTACTTTGTAGAATAATCACTATAATAAAATAATATACAGTAAAAATAAAATTAAAAAAATAGATAAGATTAGATTCTATTCTAATCAACTCTGTGTGTACATTCTATGGTACAGTTTCCACTTGTTAAGCTGATGCACAGGTAAGAACTACCATATCATGGTAAAAGTTGTACTTGGCTTTGCCAGCTTAGTAGATTTAGGTTATTCCTAGATCCATAAACTAAGCTAATTATGTGAAATAACCTTTATAATAATAGAAATTAGAATTAGTTACAAGTATAATGACCAATACTGTTAAAGAATATAACCTTAAAGAAAGGATAAAGTACAATTAACTTACTGTTGTTGTTGGAAATTAGATAATACTCACTGCTTCTAAAATCTGCTAAGATTGAGAGAGAGATACCTGCTATCAGAATAGCATCTTTGCTCACAGAGTATATGTGAAATCCATGTTACTGTTGGTCATTCCACTATAAAATAGTTGAGTGAGCTTCACCTTCCCTGCTAGCTACAACAATTACATTGAATATATAACTAACATAGAATGAGCCAGAACAACAGACAAATAGAGCAAAAGGAGGTTAGCCAACTTCTCTGAATAACATGGTATTGTTAAATGTATACATATGTCTGCAACCATGCACACACACACACACACACACACACACACACACACACACACACACACACACACACACTAGAAGTTTGGAAAATTCCTTTGACCTTTAAAAGTTCACTGTACTAGAGAATAGTAGATAAGAAATATTATACATGTACTTGCATACTGCGAGGGATAACATTTAAAAAAGAAGTAACAAGATATTAAATACAACAATGTAATTACAACAATCTAATATAACTTAATTTTAGATTTAAAAGTAACAGAATTAATTTCATACATTTAGAACTAAACAATGCTATTTTAATTGTTTTGTTTTTCTGAATATTTGGCATTGAGCTAATGTAACTTTTAGATAAATTCACAGTTGTGAAGGTGATATATTACGAGTTAAATACTCATCATTTTATGTTCAATAGAGGCATTATCTCATTGTTATAATGATGCTGTTTTGTTTTCAGTTTTTTAAAATATTTCTGGGTAACCTGTTTTTACAAGCTTACATAACTGTATATGAAGATAAGCCATTGAAAATGTAAGATGTGATATACTGTATATTACTTTTTTCTGTTTTGTTTACAGGTAATCCCTTTGTCAGATCCTGTAATTGATGGGTATGTCTAATATGTATGCTGAGTATAGAGCTGGGAGGAGGACCACTCCACCTGCAACCCCACCTTTTGGAAGAAGACGAGGATCATCAGATACTGATCCTCGTGTTAGACTTAGCTTTAATCCAACAGGATTTCTGCAAAGCTTTGGAAACCCTTTCCGTCGTAGATCAAAACCAAAGGTGTGTAAACAAAAACTGTCTTGTTAATTTTACTATAGATTTTCAGTAGCTGTTGCAGTTAATATTGAAAACTGAATTAAAGAAGAATTATGCTATTAAACATCTAAATAAGTGATGCCTGAAAAGTTGTTTTACCTTCAAATTGTCATTAAGTAACATCTTAAGTAGTAGCTTTCTCATAATCATCAGAGTTTGTAACATATATCAGAATTTCTCAATGAATCTACAGTGTGATAAGATATTTTAATACATGTATTTATTTATACAAGTTTTACCTAAACAAGGTATTTTAAATTTGTTAGATTAACCATTTTAAGTATAGTTTTATCCATCCTATTAGTTCACTTATTTTCTAAACACCTATATTTAGGATTATCTCATTCTCTGAAAAAAGATATTAAAGTTGTATAAATTTATATTCTCAAAAAATATATACAGTTGATACAAGTTTGTATAGAAATATGTGTTGATTAAAAGTTTTCTAAATTGATGTAATAAGTATCATTCACAGGAGCTTTGTTATTTAATGTTTTTTAAATACTGCACACAAAAAATATTTCATATAAGTTATGTTAGGCTATAAATTTGTTTCACCCTTCTTAATTTGTCTATTACAGGT